AGTTATTATATACGTCAACAAACGATTCTAGCAGACGTAACCGTTGGATGTCAATCCAACGGTCGTCGTGTTTCTTCAATCTCTGATCTTCTTGCTCCAGCCGCCAAAGCAGCACCGGCGGGACCGCCTGCTCCCGCCTCCCGTGGACGGTTGTGCTGCCGCGTAGGCCTCAGCGCCCCCTACTACTCCCACCACTGGCTAGGGCATCCCTCTACTCACCCACACCCCCTGTCATTCTGCGGTGATGGAAGCCTCACACCGCAGCCGAACCGGTGAACCCTCAAACTCCTCTCCGCGCGGGCTTCCACTGCCGCATCTTCCCCGGCTCCGTGTCGTCCCCTTCCTAGACCTCGCCGTCGTCCACCGCCGTGGTGCTCTCGGCGCGGCATGGTCAATGTGGTCAACGACCGACTTCCATCGGAAGAGTACTGTACGTGGAGAGGCTGACAGCTGGGTCCACGGCAGCCGCAAGGAAGTGCCTCCTTATTACGCGGAAAATAATTATTCCTCCACTTGACAGCAGGGACCCACCGGACGGGCCACCAGTATTTCATGAAAAAAACATTTCCCCTTGACTGCTGGGACCCACCGGACGGGCCACCGTATTTTGCGAAAAAAACGTTCCCCCCGCTGTCAGCTTGGACCCACAGGAAGTGTCTCCTTATTACGCACAAAAAAATGAATACCCCCTGCTAGCTGGGACCCAACTTGGTGGGAGGCTGACTTGTGGGCCTACTAAGTTAACTGGGACGGAGGCCTTTGTCAACTTTAGTCAATATATGAACGATTCTAGCTCAAGTGACCGTACGATGTCCATCCAACGGCCGTAGTGCTTCTTCAACCTCTGGTCTTCTTGCTCCAGCCGCCCAAAGCAGCGCCGGCCATGCCGCATGCTCCTGCCGCCCGTGGCCGGCTGTGATGCCGCGGAGGCCTCACCGCCCCCTACTACTCCCATCGCTGGCCAGGCCATCCCTCTACTCACCCGAACCCCTCTTATTCTGCGGCGACGGCAGCCTCACACCGCAGCCGAACCGGTGAACCCTTGTACTCCTCTCCGCGCGGGCTTCCACTGCCATGTCTTCCCCGGCTCCATGTCGTCCCCTTCCTAGGCCTCGCCATCGTCCACCTCTGTGGTGCTCTCGGCGCGGCGTGGTCAATGTGGTCAATGACCGACTTCCATCGGAAGAGTACTGTACGTGGAGAGGCTGACAGCTGGGTCCACGGCAGCCGCAAGGAAGTGCCTCCTTATTACGCGGAAAATAATGATTCCTCCACCTGACAGCAGGGACCCACCGGACAGGCCACCGTATTTCGCGAAAAAAACATTTCCCCCTGACTGCTGGGACCCACCAGCTACATCTTCGCACGCAAGGAAGTGCGTCCGGGCAAAAAAAATCGATTCGCCTCCCTAACTTCTAGGACCCACTAGCTACATCTTCGCACGCAAGGAAGTGCCGACCCACCTAGTCGAAGCGTACGTAGCATTGTCATTTTGGTCGCGAACGTGTACGTACATACTGGTGGATGTAGAGGTGTGCATGTGTCGTGGTAGAGGCGCGCACGTAGCATGTACACGTACGTACAGCGGCTAGTGTGCAAGAAAGAAAATACGGCCACGTATGTGTACATACATGCGGGGTCTCGAACGCCTACTCGCGCATACGTACGGCCAGGGCTCGTGTATATGGCTGGGTCGGAATGGAGAAACAACATCGTCGTTGTGTTCATGGGGAGCCAACCGGCTGGGTCGGAACAGAATGCGTCGTCGTGTTCATCGGGAGGGCTTGGACGGAACAGGCGATGGAAACGAGGCCTGGCGTACCGCAGAACGGAGGAAACGGCCTTGTGTTCGACCGGCCATGTTCGAAATGGGATCATGTTCATCGAGAGGGGTCTGGCGTACTGCAAAATGGAGGAAACAGACCTCCTACGGTCGAAACGGGGGTCCTGTTGATCGGGAGGGGTGTGGCGTACCGCAAAATGGACGAAACAGACTTGTGTTGGAGTGCTACGGTCGAAATGGGGGTCCTGTTCATCGGGAGGGGTGTGGCATATCGCAAAAAGGGACTCCACGGGAGACTGTTCATCTCCACCGTCGACCTCCTCCAGCCTCCACAGGCTACCGTCGACCTCCTCCAGCTTCCACGGGCTCCTGTTCATCCAGCCTCCACCGTGCGCTACTCCACCGGCTACTGTTCAACCACCCCTCCACGGGCACCCCTTCATCGTCTATTGTTCATCCAGCCCTCCACGGGGTCGTCCTGTTCATCCAGAGGCAACGCCACGGGGTCTTTTTTTGTAGTGATATAAGACGACTTCTTCGTGTTGTATAACAAGTGAAGTAGTAAGAAGGAAAATGTGGGACAAAGGAGACAATCAAGTGAGGAGCGTGTGAAGTGAAGCATGGAGTTGCTTGGTAGCTATCTGGATGTACACGGGATGACCAGAATATGATGCATCAGGAATTCAAGCTGCGGTCACGGGCATTTTTGTTGCAGTTCTTTCCGGGTGTGATGCATGTGTATACCATGGTTCACGCGTGGTTGCATGACACTATACCAGGGACTTATAGGTTAGCACAAATCCCATGTGTAATGGAGCTGGAAACTAATAGTTGTAAACGCATACTATTAAGCCGGAAGATGGCATTCCAAAAACAGACTGGCTGCTTGCACTCTTTTGTGTTTGGGACCATCAGCTTCCATCTTCGTGACACCAACATGCTATGCACAAGAAGTCGGATGTTGTCCCCGTGTGAGACTGTATTAATGTTCCCAATCACAGTGGATGGAGAGTTTTCCCCTATGGGTGTTCTACCTACACACTCCTCTCTTTCTCATGTATTGGCCGAGAAAAGAGGTTGTACTTTTACCTGACTTTGGTCTCCATTGCTCTTCAGTCTGTCATTCCTAGCTTTTTGCTGTTCATGGGGCATAGACATGGGTTTTCTTACTCATGGCGAAAAGGTTCCACTAGCGATAAGAAATAAAATCTTTATGTTTTGTTCTTTACAGGAAAACTCTGTTGTCCCAAATAGTGAAGAAACTCCGCAAATTAATTAAAGATGGTTTTGACATGCCCTAGTAAAACCTAGCATTTGATCGATTATAGAATAAAAATATTTTACTACTAAGGGGAGAATAACTAGCCAGTATTACAACAAAGCTTCCCTGCTTGACTTTATGGGGAGCAACTCTTCTTTAGTCACCTTTTCCACACGCCACCAACTAGTAATGTACCCGTGCAACGAAAGGTCAGTTCTGGCATATCAGAAATCCCATGCTTAGGAGGCGATCTTGCTATTTACAGAATGCCTTCATCATCCAACCGCTTCTAGGGTGAGAATAATAGTCAAACATTTTGATTTGACTATCATGCTCAAAATTTCCATTTTCTATAGTGTCAGGCTTCAATTTATCATCAATGACATCAAGGGAAGGAAGAACCTCAGTTGAACAGTATGAACAAGGTATCAAGCCTAACAGACAGGGGTCCCATAACTTTGCTATATACCACCTATTGCGTTTCTCTAGCATGCATGTGTCGTACACCCCCCCCCCCTCCACCATGCTGTTTTCAGTTCAACTCACATTATTTGTTAGTTAAATCTATGATCAAAATTAGATACAAAATACGAAAGGGACTAATAATCTAAGCCAGAGGTAGTACATGGCAGCAAAAGAATTACGACAAGAATAGTTATTCTAGCATCAATATACATTATACTTCCGGGCAGTTCCGATTAATGGAAAATATCAGTACCTCAATCTAGAGTTGGTAACCAATAAAACATTAGTAGTCTCTTATTGAACATAGAAAACTGTTTAAAAACTGAATTGCATGATCAGGGAAATCCTTTAACAGCGATGGCTGTGGCCAGGGGTCAGGACAACATCAATATACAATGACAACGCAATGGCACATGATATGGATATATCCAAACAACAGCCAAAATTAATATACTGCTCTACTACAACATGGTTACCCATGATATTCATAGACAAACCTCACTTCCATGGTTGGCAGCTTTAAACTATGGTATTGAAGGGAAATCATGGGCACACAAGGACAAGTGTTAAGATTAGAACATGAATAAAATTCTGGACGTATCCTTCCCAGCTTTGACGGGTGTATGTTAAGGTGTAGTGGTGTACTAGAGTACTCCCAAACATTCAATTATCAGTGGGCGAAGTACCGAAGGATGAGTTACTCAGCATCCCTGAGCCTGTGGATATAAACCCACTTCTTGGTACCATATCACAAGACCTTCTAGTGTAGTATAAGAAGAAAACGTTGGACAAAAGGGACAATCGAGCGAGGAGCGTGTAAAAAGGAGCATGGTTTTGAGTGGATTGGTAGCTAGATGAATGTATACGGGAATATGATGCATCGGGAATTCGAGCAGCAATTGCAGGCAGTTTTTTTGCCGTTCTTTCCGGATCTAATGCACAGATATGCCATGGTTCACCTGAGGCTGATCAAATAATCCTTCGGAACCACTAGCCCACGGCACGAGGAGCTGACAGCACGCCTTAGGGCGCGCTTGGTATAGGTGTTATTCAATACAGAGGTGTAAGGTTTACAAGTGTATTTTTAGTGGGCATGAGTGTTTTCCGGCTGGAAATGAAACTGGCCGGTGGAGACGTGTATTTCCTGAAGAAAACGCTAATCCAAACAGGACCTTATATGTGTCACACAAGCTGAAACTGATGGTCCTAGACACAAAAAGAAGGTTGATGTTCTCCTGGAGAAGACTCTGTTAGATGATTCCCTATTACCTGTATCTTCCTTGCTTTTTAATTGTTGTTCGTGGAGTGTAGACATGAATATTTTTTACTCACGACATAGTCGTGACAAATAAAATCACCATTGTTCCAAATAGTGAAGAAACTGAGCAAAAATGATTAAAGAGGGTTTTGTCATGCCCAAGTAAAAGCTAATGTTTGATCGTTTGCATAAGAAAAATATTTTACTAATGTGGGGAGAATAACTAGCCAATATTACAACAAAATTTTCATGCTTGACTTTATGGAGAGCAACTCTTCTTCGGTCACCTTTTTCCACATGCCACCAACCAGTAATGTACCCCTGACACCAAAGGTCAATTCTGGCATATCAGAAATCCCATGTTCAGGTGGTGATCTTGATATTTCTAGGATGCCTTCACCATCCAACTGCTGCTCCGGTTGAGAATAACGGTCGAAAATTTTGATTTGGCCATCAGGCTCAAAATTTTCATGTTCTACTATGTCATGTGTTAGTTCATCATGAATGACATCAAGGACCGGCAGAACAGTAGTGGAACTATATGAACAAGGTATCATTCCTAGGGGACAGGGGGTCCAGGACTTCGCTATAGACCACCTATTACGTTTCTCTGGCATGCTTGTGTTGAGCGTTCCCTCGGTTCCATCTTCAGCTGAACTCGCATTATTTGGTTTTCTCAACTGCAACTTGAACGCATCCAGCTTCTGTATTGCGCTTTCAACTAATTCTTCTCCATTGGACAAGATTTTGGATTCAAAGAGGGTACAATCTTTGGGTCACCTTCGCAGGGACAACAAAGGAAGCTTCCTCGGTTTCTCCTTCACGTTGTTATTGCCAGCCATCTCAATCAGCGATAGTGATGCATCTGCAATGCATCTTTCACCTATAACCAAAATGAGCATCCATCTTCCTACACGCATGATGATGTTCGAAATGAGCAAACATAATGAGCTATCGAAATGAGCTGAATGCAAAACAGAACGTACCCCATCGTTTTTGCATTTGAAGAACATCCATCCAGGGTGCTTCGGCATGCCTGAAGTCAGCCGCAACACTGTCCGCGGGCAGTTGTCACACTGTATGAGCGGCATCGGCGAGCCACAAAGACTCTGCGTGAGGGCTGAGCCCAGCGGACGGCCGACCGATCGAATTCGTGCCGGCAAACCATCGGCAGCGGCAAGCGGACGAACGCGCACCTGCATGCGGCGATGAGCCTTTGTCGGGGCTGCGCGAGGTGCTCCCCGACCATTCCATAGCTTGGCGCAGCCGCCAGCGGCCGGGAAAGCCAAATTCGGCCGCCCGCGATGAAGCGCCGCTGATCCGCAAGGTCCCGGCCCGCCGACGCAGGAGGAGGGGGAGGGGCGGAGGACAGTCTCGTGCGTGTGGAGGCCTTTCGGCGTGCTACGGTCGGCCACTTTCACCGGAATCTTGGGCGGGGGCGGCGGGGCAAGGGGGAGAAGGGAGATGGTTGGTGGGGAAAAGCGCGGGTTGAAATGCCCCCCCCCACCAACCGCTCCTGCTATATGCAGGGCACCGACGGGCCCGGGGGGGGGGGCGAATATGCGGGTTGGGGCCGAGTTTTTGCCGTGCCCCTCAAATTTTTTTGCGGGTCGGCCGCATTTGCGGGGTCTGTTCAGGTAGGATTTTCACTGCCGGCCCGCATTTTGACGGTTATTTTGCAGGTCTGGGCCTTTTGCGGGGTTTGCTAGAGTTGCTCTTAAAAGTTGACCCTTAAAAACACGTATAAGGGGCATTGCAAACCATTTTTACGGTGTGAAATTGCCCCGGACTGAACACATCTCATAAATGAAACTGTATCCAACTATAGCCCTTTTTCTTTTTTTTCTTTTTTTCCTTTATCCTCCAGTCCCGACAGAGCCCGTCTCCGGCAACGGCGTGCCTCGCCCTTGCCTCGCCTAGGCGCCGCCCACCCCGACCGCGTGCTCCCTGGCGCGCCTGCCCATCCCCGATTAAGCCCAGCATCGCCCGCCGCCGCGCACGCTCCCCGGCGCCCCCTCCCCACCCCCCTCCCCCACCGACATGGTCGCGTGAGCTCCCCAGGCCCCCTGCCGTTCTTCGGCGCCACCCCGCCCTGATTCAGGCCGCCGGTGGCCTGCTCCGCCTTGCCCGTGGACGACCTCGCCTTGGCAGTGGAGGTCGAACCGACCACAATTCGGACTGGCGGCGGCAAATTCCGGCGTGCGGCGGCTTCTTCCGACAGGCGGCGACGGATTCCGGTGAGTTCCGGGTAGATTCCGGCCAGTTCTGCGGCGACGCATCTGCTCAAACGAGGTTTGACCGGTTTGCGGGTTGAACTGTATACTACCTTTGAAACTGTACATATAAGGTTCTCACGGGTGGATTTTCAGTGCCCTTTAAAAAGTTTAAGGCCGAATAAATTTTACAGGAGCTGCTAGGCATCATTTTTTCGACCGAAATTGTGAACATCTTTTTTTTTACGGTTTTGACCAGTTTAAGAGGTCTGGTAGAGATGCTCTAATAAACAGCCATAGGTAGTAGATGGCAGCAAACGAATTACGACAAGAACAGTTATTCCAGCATCATTATACATTATACTTCCGGGCAGTTCCGATTAATGGAGAATATCAGTACCTCAATCTAGAGTTGGTAACCAACAAAACATTAGTAATCTCTTATTGAACATAGAAAACTGTTTAAAAACTGAATTGCATGATCAGGGAAAGTCTTTAACTGCGATAGCTATGACCAGGGGTCAGGACAACATCAATATACAATGACAACGCAATGGCACATGATATTGATATATCCAAACAACAGCCAAAATTAATATACTGCTCTACTACAACATGATTACCCATGATATTCATTAGACAAACCTCACTTCCATGGCTAGCAGCTTTAAACTATGGTATTGAAGGGAAATCATGGGCACACAAGGACGTGTGTGAAGATTAGCACTGGTGGAAAAAGGGCCTTTGGTCGCGGTTCGCAACTGCCATTAGTCGCGGTTGCGCAACCGCGACAGACCGGGCGCGACTAAAGGCCCCCCCCTTTAGTCGCGGTTGCTTAAGAACCGCGACTAAAGGCCCGTCCACGTGGGCGCCAGGTGGCCGTCGGGGCGGAGGACCTTTAATCGCGGTTCTTCTGGCCAACCGCGACTAAAGGCCGCCGCAGGTTTAGGGTTTTAGCCCCCCCCTTAAACCTGTTTTCTGTTTAATTTGTATTGTTTTATTTCTTTTGTGCTTTATTTTAATTTTGAAGGAGTTTCATATATTCTACGGTACTACATACATGCATATGAATGTACAATTTCAAATAAATTTGAAATTAGAACCAAAAAGAATTCAAGAGGAATATACAATATATATTCAATATCATCGGATGACCATATACAATTTTGAACAAGTTTCCATACATGATTTAATGCATATAAAGTTCTACGTCCTCGTAATAGTGTTCTCCTTTAGGATGGAGGACTTCCCTGCTGAACCATCCAGCTAGTTCCTCTTGAAGTGGTCGGAAGCGAGCTTCTGGACTAAGCATCCACCGGAGGTTATTCCTCTGAGCATTGGTATCACTCGGAATCCGCTCAGAGGTGTATCTCCGGATCATCTCACAGACATAGTATCCACATAGATTGGTCTCCGGTGGCTGAATATCCCCAGCATTCTTAGCCTTTAACATTTTGAATTCTAGCTCTTTTTTGAATTCACCGACCTTTGTATCTACGAACCGTCTCCAAACCCTACGAGGCAAAGAAAATTAAATGAACAAGAGAGTTATTAATTAGTTACTTGATATTAGGAAATGAACGAAATAGGCCGATCGATATAGAGCGCAAATGAATGAAAATAATTACTTCTGCAGCATTCTTCTCATGCCGCCCCAAAGCTTTGGATCCATATTCACAGAGTCGTGGACGAGACATTCTAAGGTGTTAACTTTAATTACTAGCAGAATCCAGTGGAACCTGCGGACACGATACATGCACAGTACGTCATGCATAACTCATCGATTAGCCGGCCACATACCATGCACAGTACGAATATATGTGGGGTCGGGATGGCCCATGTGCAGGGCGGGGGGTGCTGGCCACACTCTTTTTTCTTTTCTTTTTCATTTCATTTCATTTCTTTTCTTTTTCATTTCATTTCATTTCATTTCCAATATATTAATGAATTCCAAAACATATTCTTTCTTCTTTCTTTCTTCTTTCTTTTTTTCTTCTTCCTTTTTTTTCTTCTTTCTTTTTTTCTTCTGTTGTTTTCTTCCTTTTTCTTTTTTTCTTCCTTTTTCCTTTTTTCTTCCTTTTTCTTGTTTTTCTTCTGTTTTTCTTTTGTTTTCTTCTTCCTTCCTTCTTCTTCTTCTTCTTCTTTCTTCTTCTTCTTCTTTCTTCCTGCAGGGCGGGCGGCAGGGCGGCGGGCGGCGGGCAGGGCACGGGCGGAGGCGGGCAGGGCACGGGCGGAGGCGGCG